GACGTCGCGAATGAAGGAAATCGTCAGCGGTTTTGAAATAATTTGTTCTCGATCAAATTAATATAATAACATTTCTATATCATAATAATATGTATTACACAAAGTATCAACTAAAAATATAAACGATGATCTTAGGAAAGGCTTAAAAATATAACCAAATGACGCTCATAAAATTATAATATTTCAAATCTCAAATGCAAAATAAAAAATGAGTAGATTGCAATATGGCATAATATATATAATATATATATATAATGCAGTACAATATAGATAATTATCTCGGTAAATTGTACATTGCAGTTTTTTATCATATTTATTTATGATTTAAAATTTCGCAGTTTATTTTTACTTTCCTTTTAATTTCTTTTTCTTCGTTTAAATATTTCATAACTTCTACGTATTCAACAAATTCACTTTGAATCATCATTATTAATTTGTTAATCGTGTAGTACGCTAATTTAATATTCTCTGACTATAAGTTATGAGTAAGATATTTTTTTTTACTTCTTTTTTTATGAAAATCTAGTCAATGATTTAAATGTACAAATTATAATATTTTATACAATCAACTTAGTATATTTATATTAAACTAAAAACAATATTATTATTGTTAATAATAACTGTCAAACTTATATTTTGTACAAAACTTTTGCTATACCTATAGCAAAATCGGATTTAGGAAACACCTTTTTAAAAGAAATCACATTAAAGTTTTTTAATTTGAAAACTGATTTAAATCGCATGAGAAAAAACTACATAGACACAGCTAGAGTTCTGAAAAATACTTAGGTATATTGTATACCATTGTATATTATTATCTCTGCTCGGAATATTCTGATAGTTTTTTGATATTCTTATTCACTCGGCCAGGATATTAGAAAAATAACCGGAATAATACATCACCTACGTGTGTACGATGTTCTATTAAGTTAAATAAAAATAGAATATGATATGATTATTATTATTATTTATTATGTACATTTTGTTCTTGTATAGCAGAATACGCGTACTGTATTCATCTCACTCCATCAGACTCAAACAGAATTCTCGAATACGTCGCCACTTTGTCCAGCTGCAATGATTATTTACAAAAGAATCGTTGTTATTATAATTCACATAGCTGATGTACGGTTCGCTGAGCAAGTGTGATGTTTATGATGAAATAATCAAAGCTACAAAAAAAAAAATTATAGTTACAATAATAATGAAAAACGTAAGAATGCAAAAAGTCGTGAAAAAAAACACGTGGGAATAAATAATATAGGTATTTTGTATGTTGCCCGCCCATTCGTGTTGTGATTTTTTCATCCCAAAACTCATTGTCGAGTCAAATATAATACCGGGTACCTCCGCATTGTGCGAAAGTGATAGATATGAAGTTTTACTTTTTTTTAAGGTTAACCTTTGCCAATTTACCTAGCGTTACATTCACATATCGTTCGTACAGACTATAATAAGAATCCACACCACATACGTATTATTCAGTAATAACCCGATTCAAATGGATATGATCCGAAAAAAATTCAAAATAAAAAATAATAATAACAATAATAATAAACCAACAACACCAACGTAATATTTCGCATTGTACATAATAATACCCCATTGGGAAAACACAATTGATTGTTCGGGGATTGAAACATGATGCTTGACAAAAGAAATATTATACTATATTATTCTTCTAGCTAAAAATGTTGGCAATCAATTATAATGTAAAATCATCTCCCCGATCGGAACTAATCAAAATGGACGAGACTAATTATTGTCTTGTTCGTTAGAAGACAAAACCGAATGTAACCAAAAGCACATGGTAACATTGAAACGTGCTAGTAAACGAAATGCGACAATAACAAGAGAGAACTCTTCGCGTATCCTTCAATTTAGCGCACTAATATCTATTAACCAATTCGAACACTTAAACAATTAAAAAAAACACAAACCTTGACATTAATTAACATACATTTCTTCTTCAAAAGAAACTAATTAAAAATTACAAAATTCTTTTATTTATTGTTTTTTACTTTGTTATAGTATTTAAAATATCGGTCTTAGGATATACATAGTTAAGTAATAATACACTGTTAATGAATAACGACGAGTGTGAAATAATCTAATTCTGACGATAGTATATAATTAGGTAGATATTATAAATAAAATAATTAAAAAAATTGCTGCTGTGCAGGATATTTACAATAATAATCATCGTATACTCGGTTGCATTATCTATAAATATTTAAATATTATTGCCTAATGCAGCGTAATGCGTAATGCGGTTCGTCCGGGTTATACAATTTTTGTTCAGTCTGCAGTTATTGCGCTATGAAAAGTTTAACTGAATTACAATGAGAAACGGAGGGAGCGGAAACAAATTCGACGGTTTTTTTTTCTACCGACAAGGGGTGTGTCGAATGAGTTCCTCGTGAAACCCCCTAGGAATAAGACTCATCCGAACACCCTTTTCCAGTCTGAGCCTAGCCCATACACTGCACACCCCAAATCCCATACGAAATGCATGACCGGCTTTTTAAGAGATGGGTTTATTTTACGACTTTGTCAAACCGGAGGAGGACCCACCTTCTAGTTCAAATGCACACACAAACTTATTTTTAATCCAGCGTCGAGCGCAGTCTATACGTGGTTTCAATTTAATTATCACTCCGCGTTTCGACGATAAAATTATTATTATAAATAACGCGCACAACCGTGATCTGAGATCTCTTCTTATCCGTTCATCTCGGTTGATCGCACTTTGTTTTCAGACGACTTCATTAGTCAGATGCTACATCACAAATACCTGCATGTATAATATTATTTTTATGTAGAGGGTGGAGATTGTAAACACGATATTATTATAATGTGATTTCGTTTTCGAACGAAAGTATATTTTTACTCGGCGTTCGGCGGCTGCACGTGTTAATGGAAATTAATTGTATAAAACACCTCCGGGTAAAAAATCATTAAGAGAAAGTGCTATCGATCTGTTCTGCTCCACAAGTTCAATCGGTTTGCACTTATTATTATTATTTACCTATATATTACTCATAGTAGGTAGGTCGATTTTCTTCTTAATCAAACGATGTTTTCTATATAGTTTGTATTATTAGATATCGCGGTGCATAATTTATGGCGAAAAAAACGAGAGTATTATAATTGTTATGAGAAAACGAAACCGCGCGATTCCTCCGCTCATTATCCGCTGGTGTCGCGTTATCGAACCCGTCATTGATACGGAACCACCGGCGGGCGATCACAAAACCGGACGCCGCCGCTCGCCGTGTTCGTGAATCTCGGGCCGGTCACCTTGAACGTAGGTCAGATATTATATTCAACATCACTCGGCCATGTGCGTACGTGCCGGACCTCCACCTCACATAATATCTGATCATCTCGTACGCTGCATAATATGTACCTGTAATGTGCATACATATAATAGGCGAACTATACTGAGGAGTATATAATAATATAATATATACCTACGAGGCGTTCGTACATGGCATTATTTTCCAGGATGCAATCCGTATATCCTTTGAAGAAAATAATAATGGTAATAATAATAATAGGCGGGTAGGTATAATATTATTATGTGATTACTATACCTATTTAATATAATTTACATTTCACGAGCTGCACTTGTACGAATTCTAATTCAAACGCGCAAAAACCGCGTGTACTTACAGTGTATATCTTATTTGTGACGGTTCGAAAACACAAAACCGAGCGGTGTTTAACCACGCCACTTTTATGTTTGAAACCGAGGCGAAACGACGACAAAACAACAAAAATATAAAACCATTGAGTCGTGTCTTTTAATTGCACCCTATAATGTACACCCTCCCTCCACACGACTCTCGTAAGCAGTGCCGAAGGTATCTGCACTTGAGTAATATGATAATGCGATTGGATGTAACATTTTATGCTAATGAACGTTCGTCGTACGTTTGATACGGTTTCCATTCGTGAACTAAATGATCCCAATAACCATAACACAACCGCACGGGGTAAAATATAAAGAAAGAAAAAACTCATTTACATTTGGTTATTACAGTACGCACCTATTATGTATGTATACATTATATACGATATAGTACGGGAATACTGAATACGGGTTTTCCGGTGTAAATACTTACGTGCGTGGTATATATAGGTGTACCTGTTGTTTTTTCAACAGCTACTATACGCGGCGAGGCTCGCGGAGATATTGTTTTCAAATATTGTTTTCGGTTAATGTAGTTTGGGTTAATGCCTCGGACTACAATCGTTGAATATATTATGATGTATAAAAAAAAAAATTTATACTCACAAACGCATTGAATAATTTATAAACGTAGTTATGTACGATACACGCCATACCGTACGTATATTAATATATTATACATCTATATATATACCATAAAAATAATCATCATTATAACGATGTGATTATTCAATTAAACTGAAGGTTGGTATAATATTATATATTCTACCCCGACTGGAATCGTCCTGTCATTAATTTCGACTTGTAAAAATGAAATAAGAACTGGCCGTTGAGAGTGAATCTAATGAACAAAAACATAAGCTAATCTTATAATATCTATGGGTAACATTGTATTATTGTACCGTCGATAAATAATAAAGATAAACAATAAATTACATCTTGTGCTATCGTTTTTCTCACCGTTAAAACGGATAGTAAATAATTAATATTTATTGTTCGTACAAACTACAAATACATCCTCTCAAGAGTCAAGTTGTAACTCACACAATTAAAATATATTGTTCAAGTGACGTATGTAGACTATTGTATTATATGTTAACCTCTTGACTTTATCGACCATCGGGTAAAGGCACTTCTTCTAACCGCAAACGCTTAAGAATATCCTAATCAGCCATTCAATTGTCAATTTGCCTTATATCGCGTCGTCAAATTAACCCGTTACTATTATTATTATTATTATTTCATAACACTATTTGTCTGTAGACCAACATATATATTTTACTGATAATTTTATATTTTTCAACAGGTCGTTACACTATTGCAGTGAAGAAGACACACCCAAATCGTGCTGCGGTCTATTGACGTTACCAGACGCTACCAGTACGGTATCCATCAGGTGGTTCATTGGTATCGTGTTCATTGCTGGGATTTGTTCAGCACTCGTGGGCACTGTCTTGGGTGCTACCAGGGCTTCCGGTAGAGAACACCTCACGGTCGCCTTACTTATGATAGGTAAGTTCAGCTTATCCTATCACTTAAAAGAATAATGGCACCCCTACGAAGTTTGAGCATGTCATTAGTAATAACTTATTACTTTAGACAGTCGTTTAATAGGGCGTCTTGTGGATCGCATTGTTAAACTGCGAGATTACTTTTGATTAATACTGTGTTAAGTTCGGCCAATATCCCAGTTTTTAAGTGAATTATACGGATTCATATTTTAATTACCATATAACATAAACATTTTCATTGAAAAACTACAATTTTAAGTATCGAAAAAACAACCATTGAATTAAAATTTGTCTTGTTGAGATTTTGTAACCCAATGAACAAAATATAAAGTATAAAATACAACGCGACTTGGTGTACATACAATATTTTTATGATGTATGTGCTTAAACTATTGTTTTATTTTTTCGACAAATGTTGGGTGGGCAGATAACGTATTAAATATGTAATTTTATGTGGATATAAAATGTGTATTTTATCTTCCATATCTTGGATATAGTATGTTTCATTTAAGCGCATTTGTCTCTTCAGTTTTCGTGACACGTCTAATGGTTTTAGATGCATATCAGCACATTTACAATAGAATAATATTGCATAATGGTGTCTATATCTATGAGCTAATCACGCATGCTATGACAAAACGTACGCCCATATTTATTTTAAAAAATGTGCTTATACTATTATTTGTTCTCCGAGTCAGAAAAATATTTTGTACAACTTCACTTATTTCAGTATTTAATAAAAAAAAAACAATACCTACGTCAAGGGATATATTTTAATCTGAAACACGATAGTGCATAATCCTATATTACCATTAATCGTATGTAATCGAATTATACAAATCTATTCATATTATTCGAAGTATATTTATTTTCATCGAGTCAATTTTCGTCCTTTCAATCGAATATGTTTTTTATTACAGTTTTCCTGTGTCAGACGACGATATAAAATTACCATCGTACACACTGTTCTGTATTTTTAAGTCATCGTGAGACTTTTAATTTTTTCCAATTGGTTTACACAACTATTCGCACTTCAAACACACAATATTTCTATTAATTTTACCCTTATAGATAATAGGATTTCCATCCATGACCATTATACGGAGGCATATCCGAATGTAATATGAAATTTCTTTAGCGTACTCAAGCGTTAATCAACTAATCAAGATATATTTATAACTATGAATAGGTAATAATAGGTAACCATATCGATTTCATTATAAATATCTACATATATTTGAATATTATACATTAATAACGCTACTTGATTGCCACAATTTCGTATGTACTAACATTGAGTATAATAACATAATATTGTACAACATATTATACTCAATGATACTAGGTAAAACTAATATAGGTACCCTCCTGCCTAGGTCTCGTCCTCGTATTATACATGTAGACATTGCTGCTTGTAACATATTATAATAATAATATAATATAATATACTCTCTGTTCAAACAGCATTAAAAGTCCGTGTATACAGTGTGCTGAGGATATTTTATATTAATCAATATACAATATGTTTCTCTTGACGATCTCCTTTTTGCCCGGCATACGGTTTACCGGTCGTGCATTTGACTGTCCTATTAAATGGCGTAGTGCAGCCCGTGTATACACTGCACGGGGGATTGCCTGTGTGAGCAAAATGCTTCCGCCATTAATCGGATTACTCACAATTGGCAGGAGGATCCGATAATCATTCGACGGATCATATATAATGACCACGAATTTCCGATTCACTTAAAGAGATCTAAAGGGTGAACGAACAAACGCATCAACGAAGGTCGATTTTACAATAAAATAGTATTATGCTAAATTATTCGTCAGATAAAAACGCTTCACCTAAGAATTATACTATTTTATTTTTTATTTTTTTTTTTGTGGAAATAAAAACACAACATAATATTATAGAAGGAGGTAGTAATTTTATTAGTTTTTTAAATACGAATAAAATAAGGTTTATAGCCAGTATAGTGAATCACTAGTTTTATAAACACATCATTCAAAATCTATTTCCATTTTCACTTATTTACTATAATATAGTACGTATTATTATAGATTTGATGATTTGTTTAAAGAAAAATGTTTGTACATTTCGATATTCAGAAGTTTATTTACCAACACGCGAGAAAGATTTATGTGTAATACATTTCATAGGTATTATATTATTGCATAAAAATACATTTTTAAGTTTGGATTTCTGTTTTAATGTGTTATTTAATAAATGTCATGTCTGCTTAATTTTCTTATTTAACTCGTTTTTATAAATATGAATATTTTATACTTGCAAAATATATTGTCCCACTAACACAGTTATTTTGAAGTCACAATGCCACGATGTATTTATTATTTAAACTCATTCAGTTCTCCAATAGGTACCTAAATTGTTTACATAAATCAAATTTTAAAAGTATCGTGATATTTCGTTATAGCTAGGTATAATAGTTATAATAATAGCCATTGAAATGGTATATAATATAATATACAATTTATGTTATCTCTTTTTTTATCGAATGGAGATATTGTGTTTCGTAACCCGCACATTTTATGAAATCATAACAGCTATTATTTGTTTTTCGTTTAAATTATTTATTTTTATACAAATATTATCTTTATCTTAGATGCTTAAGGACCGAACAAAAGCATAATATGCTAACTTGAAATCTCGATGTTTTAGAGCTCTAGTTTTTCAACAACAGAAATCGTTTATTCATACGTGGCGAATAAATGTTTGGAATAAAATGCTCAAACATTTTTAGAATGCAAATCAAGACTTTGTTTCCGGCACGTGGTGTAACAATAATAATATGCTGAGCGATATAATATTATGCTTGTCCAGTGTCCGTCGGTCGAATAATATTATAATTTTTACTCGCGATTCGACGGAATGAAAACCTAAACACTATCGGCGATCGCGATCGACGGTGTCTGCTGTCCGACACACAATATTATGCGTAGGTATACCTCCTACCAATATAGATATTATTATTATTATTATTATTATAGCGCAATGTCTGCGCGGTATCGACTTGCGCAGACTTGCTGCGTTTCGATGCATAAATTATCCGCTGTACGATTTCTAGCGAATAATATATTATAAAAAGATTGAAATATAATATTAAAAAAAAACCGTATGCCTATGATTCGTACGCGTATGAGATACGTGAAAATATTGAATCTCCGGGGAGAGCGAACAAAATCGGTTGATCGTCGTCGTCGTCGCCTTGTGCCATATTTCGGACGACCCACCGACGCCGTCGGATTCGCGCGAGGTGCGAAACCATATTATAAATTATAATAAAATATTAAAATATCGCGCGCGTCTTCACTCGCCGGCAATCCAGTTCACGGCTATATTATTATTTATAATATTCGGAACGAATACATGTAAAGACGATAATTATTAGCGGTTGCGTAATTCGCGCGTGTGCTCCAGTCCATTACATACATGCATAAAGTAACGTAATAATGTACCATTATCTTATTTGTGACACGTAAAGAATATAAAACGATATTAAAAGGATGTCAGCGTGCCATTTGTTTTCTCTCCCTCTAACCGCGCAGCATAGCAAATTTAAGTTTAGCAGAACAATCCCTGTGTTGTTACTTTTAATATAATTCACCTATTATTTAACTTGACGAGAAGAATATTACCTGTGTCCATACGTTGACTATCTTATGATATTTTATTTGTGTGTAAGTTATGAGCGTGTAAGTTATTACAATTTCGAAATGCTTATAAATTGTAATAAATTAGTAATAGTACAGGGACAGGGTCGGTTCTACTAAACGTACATTTGTGGGTCAGAGAGAGAAAACAAATAGTGGGCTATTAATCCTCTTAAATACGTGTTCAGAGACACATCGCATGTAAGTGTATCAGTTACAATATGATCATAGCCTGTAGATCGAGATACGTTGCAAGCAGCTACAATACCTGTCGCGACTGTCCGGCAACACGCTACCCGGTTAGTGGTTACCAACCCGTCGATGATTTCCGGTCGTCGTCGTCGTCTAAACACCCGGAGTGTCGACTCGTACATTGACCGTGCACATCACGTTTTACATGCATGTCCCACACTTTTTTTTATACGATTTCGTTACCGATATTATTATTATTATTATTGGGCTCGTTGAGTTTGTATTATAATATTGTCATTATAACGTGTGCATGTCCCGTACATGAACAGAATCAAGCACGTGACCGCGGGGACAGGAATTACGGGAGATTTACTTTCTCGGGACACACATGGCTTGTTCCCCTCCCAACACCTCCTGTCCGAGTAAGTATTAGTAGTCTCGTACTCTCGTCCTGCACGGCAGCACCGATGTTATGTTACATAGGTGTATGGTTAACACGTGGCCTCTACTGTGCTCTCGCCCTTTGAGCGCGGTACACGTTTTCGGTCCTATTCTCTCGCGGCGTCTAGTCCTCCGCCGCCGCCATATTCGTCGTGCATTTATTTAACGACGTCCGGCATACCGTTGAATTATTATTTTATTTAGGAAAACCGGGTTAAGGCGCGCGTCTAGTTTTGACAACGATAACGTTTATTGTTATTCAATATTAGACTGTCTACCTATTCATCGCACATAATACAATCGCGGACGCGCGTATACAAATTGCACTTGCGTGATACATACACCTATATTGGCTATATTATGCACAGGGAGAGTAACCGCGTTTTCCCGCGTACGTCCAACACGGTGACGCGGACCCCTCTGTATAATATACTGCGAACGTTTCGGTGACTTACGAATAACGATCGCGCTGGTGCGTACGCCTATATAGGTACACATATATATATATATATTATAATATGGTATAGTCGACAGGACTTGCAGTGGTTCTCGTGTACATTATATAGGCCTACCGACGGTGTAAATGTGTGTAATATTATATTATATTATAGGTACGTTTTGTTCGCCGTACACGGTGTATGGAAGCCAATTTTCGGACATTTTAGGCACCGTACCTAACTGCAGTTTTACCTGTGA